AGATCTTGTGCAATCTTCATTAATATAAAATTAAAAATATTTGCATAGAAAAGGACAACTTTTGAAATATTAGCAATTAATTTATAAGAAGGATTTATTAATAACCGTAATAATCACTTATATTACTGACAATTAGAATTCAGTTCTTGACAATTACATTCTAAATTAGAATTTTAAGAATATAATGAAAATACGCTACGCAGAAAAATACATTTTAGGATAAAAAATGAGTTGATATTTTATGTTTAAAAACTTCTTAGATTCATTTAATAAACATCGTACCCTCTTTGGTAATGAATCCAGAATGTTGGGTATTGTTTATATAATTATTCTTACTTGTCCACATAACCTGCTGACCTACCCAGACATTAAGTACAGTGAAAAGTCGTTAATCCGGACTCGTCGGGACTTCGAGAATTCCGGATTATAGATCATCAGTTTAAATCTGGTAAGATGGCATGCAGAAATTATAAAAATGAAACCGTAATTTATGAAATAAAGAACAATTTTGATCTAAAGGGTATCAAAATTTACAAAAAAAAAAAAGCTTAATATTTATTTGTTTACTTTATTAAACATTTCTTTCAATGTAAGTTGTTTAAGTTGCTTCGTTTTTTTACGTGATAATACATTCTCTTTAATTCTATAAACAGACATAATTTCTTGTTCAGTTACAAAGTTCCGCTGTTCAAGTCCTATAATTGCTGTGTCTACCGACTAATTTGTCAATCGAAATTTTTTCGTTTTCAATAACCTCTGTCACTTTCTTCGCTATCGGAAGCGAATTATAATGACGAGGAATTTGATTTAAATCATATCAAGGACGGAGTACATCGAGATGAAATACTACATTTACTAAGGAAGTATAAGCCAAATAAAATAAAAACATCTGCCCTGAAGATAAGGATAGTGCTGACAGATCAACGTCCAATACATTGCGCGCCGCGGCATTAAAGATAAACAAAGGATATGCCTTTATTCATTTTTTTTGCAGCAATTCCACTTTTTGTTCAATGGACTTCGAAACATACTTTTGCTTTGTAGTTTCTTTACATATTAGTAAATATATATCAGAAATTCTATTTGACATAATCGAAAGTTCAAGCTTACTTTTATAAAATTGCTCTGACAGTCTGCAAAAAATAATAAGCCGAATCCAATTCGAAGATTAAGGAACAATGCAGTCTGCAACATTAACTGAATTAGATAATTTTAGCTTAGCCTATACCGTCCGTTATACATTAAACGCGTATTCGCAGCCGTAAAGGTCTTGCGTGCATGCGTCAACGAGATGCATGAGCAAACAGTTTGAAGCTTTGAGGTCCGGATTATAGATCATTCCGGATTATGGGTGTCCGAATTAACGACTTTTGACTGTAGCTGCAGATCATTTCTACATAACCACTGAACTTCCATTAATTCGGTCTCTAGAGGGTTATATGTTTATATCATAATTTGACTTTTATAAAAATGATTATTGTAAATCTTATGTTTCTATAAAAATATGGATGATAGTATCAGCCACTCATTCAGCAACTTCATAAGCAACAGCTTGTTTAGAAATAGATTATACATTTAATGTCACAAAATATTTTTGAACATAAAATTTTTAATTACTACATTTGCTACAAACAGGAAAGAAAAGAAAAACCTTACATTCTAGTAAATTTTGCAGTCCTTAAACATTTCTGTAGTAAATGGCAACACAATATTTTGGCATGTTATTTTAAGTATTCAGAAGTATTAAATATATCATGTGATAAATCAGATTCAAATCTGAAGATAAATCTTTGCATATATATCAAACATAAAAGGCATTATGTCATAAAGAAACATTGCGAATTGAATGGAATTTTTTACAGAACATTTTCGATCCCAAAATGATAGAACCTGTATTTTGAGGTAATGAATAAACTCCATTGACCTGAACTTTAGGAACACTATTTCTGATTCCAAAACCTGTAGTTTGATTTGATCAGTTATATTTCGTGCAAAATCTCCTTCTCAGATATAGAAAGTGAAACTCTATGAAACATTAGACTGCTAATCTCTAAGGTTATGTTTTAAGTCACTTTTGGGTTTGTATGCCACTTTTTAAAAGTATATCACTAACAAACAGGTGTGTACAGCAAAAAATAAAATATTATAAAAAGTGTGAATCATCTAAAGAAATAGAAACTTTATAAAATAAATATAAATTGTAGAGTTCTGATAAGCTGAAAGTGAATGGATTTTAAAAAGCTATGAATAGAAAAAATTAACATTAATTCCAAATTCTACATTTCAGCTTATCACGATTAAAAAAAATTACTCATTCAGATAAGATAATAATGATATTTGATCTTTCATTGAACATGTGGAAATCTCATATGAGCTAAGTGCTTTTAATTGTAAAAGCTAATTGATTTTATTCTTTCATCTTCACAATTCAATTAATTCAATTTAAACGAAGCTAAAGTAAACTAGCAGACAATAACACGGTGAAGATAAAAATTTATTCTTACAAATATTTTTTAAAAGTTAAAAAATTTGAATAATATCATCTAAAATAAAATAAAATTAAAAAAAAAAAAAAAAAAAAAAAAAAAAAAAAACATAGTATTAATAAATATTTATTATGCATCATTGAGGGAACAAATTGCATATAATTAATTCTCCCTAAAAATTTATTTGAAATCTAAAAGTAAAAAATAGTAGCTGTGGCAATTCACTGTAACAAAATCTATAAACCACATTTGGCATTATTATTGCTAAAAAAAAGATGCCAAATTTCAAAACGCGAAATTCGTGTATATCGTACAAAATTTTGAATAAAAAACTCTAATTTTTTGCAGGTATGCTTAGAAATACGTCTACTTTAAGATGATGGTAAAAATTTTATAGGTTATAAATGAAAAAATTTTTTGAAAAATTTATAAAAATTATTTAAAAATAAAAATTTCTAAAAATCGGCTTTTTTTACACCTTTTATAGTACTTAAGATAAACAATTCTATAAAATTCCTAAAAATTCAAATTCATCCAAAAATTTCCCCATGGTACTTGCAAAGCACAAGTTTAATGAGTTAATGAAATAAATTCAAATAATAACAAATATTTTGTCAAGATTGCATAAAAATGCAGCGTTCCAAAAAAAGGAACATTGGCATATAATGATATACAAAATCAATAATATCACATGTAAATTTTTCTTTATTAGATTTAAATATATTAAGTGCTCATATATCATAAACAATGTATAATTTATTTCTGAAGAAAGGAGGGAAGGTCTCATCTCCCTCACTAAGGGGGGGGTAACTGGTTTCAGCTGTATTTCCTTGTTTTGAGCCCCAGTAGCTGCTCGTTTCCTTTGCTAGAAATGACCACGTGTGCTTCAAAAGGATGTGTTTGTTAATATTAGGTCCTTCCGATGTAGAGGGAAACATGAGAAAGGGAGTGGAGCAAGTCACATGTTTGATTATTCCTATGCTCTGGAGACTTTTTGAGACCATTTCAGTAAGAATTTGTGTAGACATGTGTACTGAAAAGCAAAAATTAGATGACAGAGCCAAAAAAATTTCTGACTGTAGAAGAAGCCATTGAATGTTTTAATTCTTTATCTAATGATTCAAATAAGTCGATCATAGATATTTGTCAATTACCCCCCCCCCCTCCCGATGAAAGCGGGTGCATTACTGAAGAGGAAGAAATAAACAATACTAGTTTTAAGCCAACAACACCTGGAGACATGTGCAGGCAAATAGAAGTGTTTACACATACGTCAAGTATCTGATGAAGAACTAGACACTCCTTCCACTTCTAAAGTCAAAGCAAAATCGAGAATAAAAAAGAAGACTGCAAAAAAATGACGAAAACAGCCTAATTGGAAAAAATATGGCAAATTTCAGAGAACTTTAAATACCTTACCTACTGATCATATTATTGAAACTTTTCTTGAATTACATAATTTGACTCCAACTGGAAATTTTTATAAATTTCTGCCATCTGATTACTTAGACATTTAGCAGAACTTACAAAACTGTATGCCCTACAAAAAAGAGTTTGAATGTTGATGCAAACGACATTCTGCAGTTTCTTGGATTGCTGTTATTTAATGGCTACCACTCAGTAACTGATGAGAATTCATATTGGAGCTCTCAGGTAGATTTGCATATCCCAATTGTTAGCATTATAATGCCCAGAAATAAATATCGGGTATTAAAAAAAGTATTTCCATATTGTTGATAATAGTAAATTGGAACCAGGTGTTAAGTTAGGGAAAATCTCTCTCTTTTATGAAGAGATTGGAAAAAATTTTCATCACTTCGGATTTTTACATGAAAATTTTTGAGTATCAATGAATTCATGGTTCCGTATGATGGACATCATTCTGTAAAGATGTCCATACATGGAAAACCAATTCACTTTGATTTCAAAGTTTGGATGCTCTGCTTAGCAAATGGTTATCCTTATGTTTTATATTTTTCATGATACTGGTTAAAATTCCATGCGCCTTCTTAAAGGATTAAATATTTTTTTTTTTTTTAATTGGTAAGGTATTTTACATTTTTAAAATCACATTTATTCATATTATGTATACTGTTAGTCACAGCTGTATAAGTATAAAATTGTTTTTATTGTTTCTTCATACTCGTTGTATTGCATGTCTTATAAAATATTATGCTAATTAAAAATTATGTACATATTTTAATAAGTTTTACTTAAATTTTAGTAATTTCACATCAAATTGTTCAGTAAACCAATATTACAGCATAAAAATTTAAAAATTCATCATACAGCATTCTGTTTTAATGAAATGAAAAAAATGAGAAAAAGAGTGCTACCTGCAAATGTTCCAAAAATGGAACATTGTGGAAATCAAAGACAGAATTTTTTTTTTGTTTTATAGTCTTTATGAGTGTATTCTAATGTGAATTTGATGAATTAGTTGCGTCTTTTATTCCTTGATCATAGTGCAGCAAGTAAAAGGTTAAAAATAAGCAACAAGTAGTGCAAATTCTATTAAAAAGTATGTATAAAATTAAATTTATTGAAAATATATATATACACATTTATGAATGTATTGAACATTATGTATCATCCATATTTTCTTCTTCTTCTGGGTACTGGAAAAAAAAATAAAAATAAAAAAAAATAAATAAAATAAAAAATGAAATTTTAAGAGAAAAAGGGCCTCATAATTTATAAACATTTAAATATTTATGATATACATTTTAACAAATAACATCAAAAATTAAGTTAATAACTGATGCTAATTGCCTTTACATGCACAGATAGAATGCTTGAAAAAAATGAAATATGACACACAAAGGCATATGAAATGCGTTTATAGTACATGAGAAAGTTTGAAATACGTGCCTGTAAAATTTTTGAAAAAAGTAAATACCTTGAATGCAAATGCAGACTTTTTGACATTAATAAGAAATGTGACCCCACTCTAATTTGTGCACATAATGCAATTCTATGCTTTTAATACAGTTTTGATTTTGGGCAAGGAAGTTCTACTATTCCTTGCCCAAAATCAAATCATTTTCAAAATTTCAATGCAAATTGAAGCATTGAAATCTCTTAAGTTTTGCCATGCAATAGTTCTTCCACGAATATTTCATAAGGCATCAACTGATTTCAAATCAACAGATTTTGCTGGCCATTTTATTTGCTCAATGCCTTAAGTGTCAAAAAAAAAAAAAAAAAAAAAAAAAAAAAAATCTTTAAAACTTTAGAAAGAGTTGACTTCATCTTAATATATTATATTTGGTACATTTCTGCAATGGCAAGAAACAAACAGGTATCAATCTGTGCATATGCAAGAACCAGCAAGTTAACTATTTGGCTGGGTTTTTTTTAACTTCTATTATGTCAGAATGGCTGTTTTTCATTGTAAAATAATTAATATGCTTACTGTTTTTTAACCTTCCATAAAAAAAAGCTACAACTGATGTTTGAGGCATTATTAGCAGCAAATACTAAATTATGGCCAAACAGAGTCTGTAAAAAATGAGTTTTCTGGAACATTTGTTTTTAAAAACATTTCTAAAAAATTGTATTAAATAAAAGAATAAATAGAAGGCATGCTTAAGTATATTATTTAAAATAAATTACTTATATTAAATAAAATAATTAGTGTATAATATAAAAAATTCCTTTTATATGTATATATTAAATGCTATTTATATTTCTGGACTTGGCAACAGTAAGTGTTGCTAGGTGACTGCAGACGATTCAAATTGAAAGTGTGATATTTTTAACCATAACTTCTTCAGAACATTTTGTCATTTTAGGGTGATTTGTGTTTGAGCCAGTGTGCAAGAGCTCGCAATGTCATAATGAAGAATGATTCGCTTGCCTCTTCTGCTTTTTTTTCAAATTTCTCTGATGACTTTTGGAAACAAATGGTCATGTACCATTCGGAATTGACTGTCCTGCATTGCTCTAATGCAGGGTTTCTTAAAATTTTTTCAATCGTGACCCCTTTTTATCACTGAGATTTTTTCACGACCCCCAGGACCCAATAATATTTACAAAAATTTTGTGGGACCCCGTAAGTATTGTGCAAATCTGACACGTGCGTGAGTGAAACTGTCAATTTTTTTCACTTGTACTGTATTATACTATTGCAGTTTTAGGTCATTAACTTTAATTTCTAATTTTAAGACATAGAACAATGCAAAAATTTTAAATAAGTAACAGACGAAATGACAGTGTCGCGTGCAAAGCAAGTAAAATGAATATTTATATTATAAAAAGAATGCATCGAAACGTTTTTGTATTTTTTTTCTTTCTCTGTATTGTCCTTACCTATATTCAGATACATTGTGTAAAAATATATGATAATTGTAAAATTATTATAATAAGTTAAAGAAATATCAAAACTGCTAAAATTTTTGCCGACCCACAGTTTAAGAAACCCTGCTGTAATGTCACTCTCGCCATGTGACCAGTAACAATCCTTAAATATAAGCCTCCTTACTGAAGGCTCGTAGTTTAGTGATGTCACAAACTGTTGGCCTTCTCAGTGGGGTACGAAAGATCGTCCCTAAACCAAGGCCATTTACATGGCCTTAGCAAGTTAAGGGAATTTCGTCCTTGGTCGTGAGAAGGCGCGTTAGTGAATCAAGTCTTCTTAATTTAATATTTTTTTTCGATTTCTATTATGCCTTTAAAGTGCTGTGTGCCGTTATGCCGAGGAAATTATACTGACGGTCTTAAAGTGTCAGTATATAGATTTCCTAAGCAACAAGATGCATTACATAGATGGTTAAAACCGATACCACAAGAAAATTTTACCATTTCGAAGTATTCTCGGGTAAGTTAAGCCTAACTTGAAATTAAAATTTATTAAGGTACTTGCTTCTGTTGAGATATTTGTAATCGCATTCTTACTGGTTAAAAGGAAGTATACCTTTCTGTCACGTCCGACACATTCATTAGCTTTCAGTCAGGTCCGAATTATTCTGAAACTTAATCCCATTGTTTATGTTACTTTTTATTCGTTATTTATTGTCTCTTGTTTATGATTTGTTAAACCATGATCTGTTCTAAAGTTATATATATGACCTTTATAACCGCTTATCTCTGCTTGCTTGTATTTCTTTGCATGTAACTCTGTGTGTGTCTCTGCGTATCTCAGTAATAAATATTTGTTTTGTGAACCACGGCATTTTCTACGTTTAACAACTTCTCTATTTAAAAGAATGGATTATGTTAATATTAAGGAATTTCATCTCTATAGTATACATTATGTATAATATTGTGTAATAACGTATCAGTAAGTATAATTATGTATCGAATTGTATGGTCCCTTTATCTGAATCCTTTTATTTCTGCATCAGTTGTTATCCATGATGATCTGCAAGTGAAAGCATATTTTAGAGATATTCCATTAACAAAAATTTATTTAATGTTCGTTTGTATGAAAAAATCTACAATTTGAATGTAATAAGAATAAGAACATTTTGAGAATATTACTAAAATACTTAATAAATTGACAGCAGAGGAAAATTTATTTAAAAATTGTGAATTTCATAACGGGAAGAAGGGTGGGATGGAGTGTTAATGCAAGGGACGTCCAGTATCTTATGTCATAGCACTTTTCCTGACATAATTAGGCTCTACCACGTACACTCTGGTAATGAGGATTAGAAACCTCGGCTAACACCTTACACCTTGCTATTTAAGAAAATTCTATTTATGAATAAAAATAAGAAAGAATTGTAATTCAACTTGTGTATATATGTCTATATAGAATCAGTTTCTTTAATGGAAGCTTTTGTGCTTATAAATCTGCCCTGCTAAAATTTAAAAGCTTCTAATATCCTTAAAAAATTTCCATTCGTCCTTCCTATATATTTTTAATGCAATTAAATGACTTGAATATTATTAGTATAGAGCGAGATTCCAACATTTCCTTACTGCTACTTATCAAAAGTCAACCAGTACTTTAAAGCACTATTTTAACTGTAAACATACAATATAAGACCATACAAAAATTAATAATATATAATATACTTTGTGCATATGAATATGTTTTCAATATTATATTATATCCGCAAATGAATTGAAAAATAAATATATTGTGATAATTTCTTAAACAGGAAAGAAGAAAATCAATTATCTAACTAAATCCATTACCTTAATTTTAACATCAAGCTCTTCTCCATACTGTATTGCATTATCAATTGTAAGCAAGATTTCTCCGACACTTTCGTGACTTTTGATATTTAGTGGAAGAAATCGTACCAAACTGAAGTTTTCAATCTAATCAACAGAAATATTAATTAATATTTTGATAAGAAAAAATAAAATTAAATCACTACCAGAGCAACTATAAAGATATCATGTACTTGTTTTAAAATTTTTTAACAGTGAACCATTGTTCACAAACTTAATTCAGTTCTGCCTAAATTTCGTTGCCAAAAATACTGTAAACCAGGACAATTTTCCCCATAGGAATTAATGTAAAATGAATTTCCTGATAACTAATGATTGCTTGGAAAAGAATACTTTGAATGTAAGTTCATAGTTCGTAATACAAAAATGACAGAATTCATTAAATATAAAATATAGACAACACATAACTGAAACATATAATAGCTAACATAGCGTTATGAATTTTGTATATATGTACATAATTTTACTGATATTATATGTAAAAATGTAGTTTATGTCTTGTACAACGTGAAGTGCCTCAGAAATGAGAAGCTTCACTGGAAGAATAAGATTACAGGAGCAGTTCATTTAACACTGATGCAAACGGCTATCTTGCGAAATTAGCGAGATAAGCTGGTGATGGTTTTCACGACACTTTGGTCTGATTCCTATATGTAACTGTAACTGTATATACCTTCCAGCAATTTCGGGAAATCCAAGGCACTGGAATTTTCTTGGCAGCTTGGAGAAAAATATATAACACCAGAAAGAGCATCAGTTCTCAGCTTTTAGTTCAGAGTTGACTTCGAAGTATTGAAAGATTTCCGTGGAAGCTTCACTTTTTAGATATGCTTTACATTGAGTCATGGATGAGGGTCTCAGTAGTTTAAAGTGGTAACTATTGATTGTGCTTTGTCATACTGAAAAGAGCTGTATGAGTGCTTTTATGGAAAGTTCCTCCAGTACTACAATTTTTGTTTCTTTTGAAAAATTAATTTTATCAAGCCATCATCAGTTCCGCGTGCTTTCAATACATTACAAACCCATACGCGCACAACAATTTTTGCCATCAGAAGTAGGACTGAATGCCAGTGACAAGAGTGATGGAGGAGTGACTAAGACAACTGGCAATGGCCTTTACCACATTCCAAGAAGAGATGAAAGGAGCCATCAAATTCATTAAAGAAAAGATGGAAGAGGCCATCAAATCAGTTCAGGGAAAAATTGAAACAGGTCAAAAGAGAAATTACTACCATTATAGAAAACAAATTTGAGGCAATGGAAAGCAGAATAAGACATGGTTGAAAATAAAATCAAAGTAATTTAAGAAAGAATTTCAAATATTGAACAACAAACCAGAAAAAGAGTTTGACAAGTTTTTGTTGCTGTCACCAAAGGAGTTAACAACTTACAGAAATCCATAGTGACAGCAGGAAAACGATTCTAATGGCTATAAATTTCTATACGTCTTCTTGACCCTCTTTAAAGCTTTTAACATATGATGGAAAGACCTCCTGGCAAGCATACAATTTAATTTTTACTTTTTTTTTTTTTTAATTATTTATTTATACTTTTCATGAGAAACAGAGGCTAGACTTCCAAACTCTGTCTCGTGCATTGGACCTATGCTTTGGGAAGACCTTTTTAAAAGAATATATATAGCATGCTTCAGTTAAAATCTTGTCAACAGAAACCCATGGGAACATTCCAAGAGTTTGCCATGGATGTTGAAAGGCTGTGTTATCTTGCTTTTCAGACTTCCCTCCAGGTCCCTACAGTATTGCATCGGTGCAATCTGGCATCTTAAGATACAGAAAGCAAAGCCAATGGCGAATATCAAGGATCTACAAAGTGTTATCAGGGTTCATAGCCACATTTTAGTTAAAAAAATAAGCACCTATAAGCACTTTTCAAGCACATTTTAAGAAAAAAAATAAGCACCTGTCTAATTACATTATACACAACTGCACAACCTTAAAAGAAAAATTAGACTTTTAATTTAAAATATGAGCAATGCAATATTTATTAAGAGAATGAGCATTACCTCAACAATGGAAAACAATTAACTTTTTTTTTTAATTTTAAATGACAGTTAAATTTACAGAATTAGTTTACAATGAGAGGGGAAAAAAATATGCAGAACTAAACTTTATTACAATATTTAATGATGATATTTCAGTTGAAAATATTGAAAATAAATAATAATAAGCTATATTAATTGTATTCGTTCGGCACCTAATAATAAATACAACTTATTTTTCCACTCATATTAACATTTAAATAATTTAATTTACATCAAAATTCTGAACATTTTCTAAATTTTCATTGCATAACAGTTTTCCCTTAACATATATCCCAAGCAAAGTAATTTAAGTAAAAATGAGGCACATTTCTGAAATCAGAAGACGGGAAATTGCTTCATTCAGTCATCCTTTAACAGTAAAAGCTTAACTAGCCAGCATACTCGGAAATTCCCGAATTTTCCGGATAGTAACTGGAAAAAGAGGAGTGGGGGAGATTGTAGCCGTTCTTTAGATTTAAATTTAGGCTAAATAAATGATTTTGACATTTCGATATGTGCATCATACAAAAACCAACGGAACTGAGAAATATTCTGCTTAGAAAGCACAGTAAAACTCTTTTAAGTGTTCATAAACAAATCTCAGGCTGAACATCAAAATTAATTACCAATGCAAAATACCGCAAACGTTTTTGCGCAATACGTGCGGCATAATTCTTCCATATGTGATATTACGCAATCGGAATCAACACCTTCCGGTATTCGCAGGGATAAATAGTCCTGGGTATTCGGAGAAAGAATTAAAGGAAAAGAAAGAGACCTACTAATCTGGGGTGTTTCTGATTCTAATTTTCAACAGACTGGAATAGAATCAATCTTCGCTTGGGTTGGGTAGACCGCAAAAACTTTTGGTCCTATTCAATCCAGATTGGACAGTGACAAAAAAAAAAAAAAAGTCCGCTGCTTCAATATTAGAAATTTTGCGGAGAAACTCCCAACCTCCGTACTGTATAATGTATTGGCAAAGAAAATGAAATTATTTCGACTATTCGATTACTTTCCTTTTATTTAAGGCATTCCGAATATTATTCCTGAGAAAGCTAATCTGTGTAAAAACACACCCATTTTTGGAAGTTTATCTATACTTCAGCAGTTACTGCAATTATATTATTATAAATATTCACACATATGCTTCATAATATAAGCATGAATAACGATCATAATAAACAACGAATATGAACTGACCATGCGGAACGAGAATGCAAATTATTAAAATCTTTATAGAAATTCAAACGTGTGTAGTATTTGGGTGGGAGGGGAAAAGAATACCGAATGTACCGGAATTTCTACTGTTTTCGCAATTCTTTGGCCAATAGAACGACGTGCACCTGTCTGTACTCTCGCGCGCACCATAGGTTACATTAATGCAGAGGAAAGGGAGAAAAGCAATTTTCCGGGAGTATGATTCACCATCTGACGTTGCATATATAAGGAAGAAAATTTATTTATTTAGTTTTCGGCTTTGGTACGGGGGAAAAAATGCGCGTTTATTAAAAAAAAGAAGAGAGAGATTAAAAAAAAAGAGAGAAAAAAAGCACTAAAAACAAAAAAAATAAGGGCTTTAAAGAAAAAGTAAGCATCTATAAGGGCCTTTATATTTTATTTTCAAATATAAGGACTTATAAGCACTTGTAAGGACCGCTACGAAGCCTGGTTATGAAATTTAAGGCAGCCCAGCAAGCAACCTGTAGAGACAGCCACCCAATCAGAGCTGCTCATGCCCAGGAGCTAATGAAACAATTGATTGTTCGTCTGGATGATTTAACCAGGCAAATCAATTCCTTGATGTGGAACTGCAGTGGGAACAAACCGACCTTAAAGTGTTGGAACTGCGATGGTGAAGCCCAACTACTAAAAAACTCCAGAACACCATAAGGCACAGCATGTTAGACTGCTTCCAACTAATTAGTGGCCATCTCGCAAGGTGGGGGCTGCAAGGTATTGAGAAGCACTATTTTAGAACGCTTCAGCGGCAATTTCTGCAATGAGTGGCAGCAATAATGGACTCTTCATCATGGGATGCATAAATGAAGTTCCTTGAACAATGACTACTACTACTGAGCCAATGTTAGCATCATTTGAAAAGATATGGCTCAATGGATATCGACAGAAAGTCCATTAGCATCACATTTGGAAGTGCCATTTACATTCACACAGCATGTTACAAATATTACAGACCCTTACATACTTGGATTAGACTTTCTAGGAAAATACAATTTTTCCTACAACTTTAAAAATAACAAATTGAATTCTGCCTCTGACACATAACTCTATTCAGAATTAAAGATAAAGGACATAAATCCATCCATCAAATAATAGCTTAACATCACAGTACCAGCAAGAACAGATATGACTCGGATCCAAAGCTGAAAACACAAATTTCTGGTGTGGCATACTGGAATATCCTAAGAACTGTAACAGCCCAAAAGGACTACTAGTAGCCTACGCACTCATCAATCTGTTGGGGAACATCATCTCTGTAAGAGATGCTAACATAAGTGATAAGTCATTAGGAAAGGTGAAGTGGTTGCAGTATGTACTCTAGTGACCTGCATTAAACAAACCAATAGTCTGCTAATATTTGTATCTTCAGACATTGCACTTATTGCAGAATATGAAACTAAGCAATGAAGAGAGGAGTTCTGCAGAAAATGTCATTCAAGAATTTCAAGATTCTTCCTCCCTCCACTCATCTTCTAACAGCGATCGAACCAATTTGGCGCAGCATCGAATTGATACAGGGAATCATCCACCAATCAAGCAGCATCCAAGATATCTACCAATTGCTAAACAGGAAAAGGTAGGAAAACTTCTAAAGGATATGGAAAAAAGTGACGTTATTGAACCTTTAGCAAGTCCTTGAACCTTTCCCATCATCCTAGTCGGAAAGAAAGACAGTACAACTAGATTTTACATTGACTATTGGTGGTCGAACAAGGTTATGAAGAAAGCCTGCTACCCTTTTCCTACAACTGATGACACTCTTTCTGGAAGCCAGTGTTTTTGATGCTTGACTTAAAGAGTGGATATTGGCAGGGAGAGATACACCCTGATGACCAAGGAAACATGACATTTACTAATGGACAATGACATTGGCAGTTCAAGGTAATGCTGTTTGGATTATGTAATGCACAGACAATATTTGAACATTTCATAGAGATCGTGCTGAGAGGTCTTTCTTACATTGACTGTCTGATATACCTGGATAACATCT